AGCGCATCAACCAGCTCCCAAGTCAAAGGGGAAGGGTCTTTCGTCCACAGAAACGTCAAATTATGTCCCAAAAACTTTCAATATGTCTCGCAAAGAAACTTTCGATGGCCGAGGCCGACCGACGGCAAGAAGGTATAGCTTTGGAATGACCCAGCCCTACGAATCTTGGTCATTCACCTTGACAAAAAATTTCAATTCGCATTTGTACAATGAATTTAGGCGTTCAGCCCTTGATGATCTTCTGACTCGACACGTTCACCACGGTTTCAACGAGCTCATGGAATTCTACCGAAACTGTCTGCTTCACCGTCGCCCCATTCCTGACCTCGTGCTGTACGACCTGGTCCATCTTTCGCAAGATCAAACATCGGACTACCACACCCTCGTCTCCAATACGATCCATGAAACCATTGCCAGTGGAAAGATGAAACCGAACAACAGGGGGAAAATCAGCAAATATTTCAATACCCAACCTGGCGAGACGACGGGAGAAAAGTTATCATGAGCCCTTTTGCATTTCTTTCTGAATTTTGCTTCTTCGCGACACGTCTCCTTTTATTGCTTGTTCATCTTTCATGACCAGCATTATTCTTTTTTTTGTCCAAAATGGTTTTTTTTGCATGCATATTCGCCAATTTTCTCCTAGAGTTCCAAGTGACCTTTTCATTGCAATAACGCGGTCTGGGTTCTCGGTCAACTCGAAGCTTCGGAGTTTACTCATCTCCTTTTTTCTGTTTAATTTTCATTGCTTTTTCAGTCATGGGAGATTCTCAAAACGTTCTGGCGTCCGGGCATGATTTTACTGGCAGTCTCTCTTTCTTTCGATGCCTGCCACTACGGTGTGCCGGGCCCCAAAATTCGTTTTTTCCGCCCTTGACATAGATATTTCCACTACTTTTTTTTTTCTTTCCTTCCTGAGGTTGTGGTTTCCCTTTATCGATCCAGTCAATTTGCGATCCAAGCCTTCCATCGGCTCTGGATCTTAACAAGTATCAGCATGGCAATGACCCAGAGAAAAGCACCTGTCTTAAAAGTCTTGTCTGAGGTTATCTGTGTGTTTCATGTTTCGTTCATGGTACCAATCGGAGAAAATCAATCCAGCATATCTACATTGCCGATATCTTCTTCCCTAGGAGACCAATCCATTCGGTCTACCCAGTTCTTCTTTGAACAGATCTTTTGAAGTGGATCGATCCATTTTGTGCTTTTTTCTTCTTGCTGGAATTCCTGCACAGAAGATTTTGTTTTATCTGCTGCGTTATTTGCATAAACCGGGCTGTTCAGGCCTCTGTGGAGTAATATGATTGATATGATTGATATGCATACTATGCACGCTATGACATTAAACTTGCTCTGTAAGAGAATGTCAATTGTAAGATTTTTTTGAAAATATGTACATAATGAGGGTCTTCTATGTTGTATATAGAGTAAATCGAGTCTGATGGAATGAGGTTGGTTGTTCCTGCCTCAGGCAGCCAGAGCTTGCAACCTGGGAACCAAACGGAGATAATTCAATCCCGATCCGGCTCTAACAGCTCCCTTTCCCCTCTCTAGCTTTGTTCGGCACATCCAATCCACTGTGCTTCTTTGCCTTTAAACCTATTTACATTTAACACTACCTCTTGATCAAGATGGAGGGAGCATCCCGCCAGACGTCAAGGCTACTCCGGCCCCGTGGCCAGAAACTCCTTCCCCAACGTCTCACACGAACCTCCGCGGTCAGCACCACACCCTTCACCCAGATTCAACGACGGACACTGTCAAATTCCCGTCAGTCTCTCGCCCCAGAGTCTCTGCTTAACAGCTTCAGAAATGGTGGCTCATACGGCGAGGGACCCACCAGCTATTTCTCCAACCGACAAACACTCCCCGCGAACACCGTTGTGCGATTCGTGCCACAACAGACAGCATGGATCGTCGAGCGCATGGGAAAGTTCGACCGTATCCTGGAACCCGGTCTTGCGATCCTTGTGCCGTTCTTGGACCGAATTGCCTACGTGAAGAGCTTGAAGGAGGCGGCCATTGAGATCCCCAGCCAGAACGCCATTACGGCGGATAATGTCACCCTTGAGCTGGACGGTGTGCTATATACGCGCGTTTTTGATGCGTACAAGGCAAGGTGAGTGATTTAATGGCGGTTCTTGGTTGTTGTGTGGAATTGGACCAGTCGGAACAAACCAATCGCTAATACATCATTCGTCAAATTCTAGTTACGGAGTCGAGGACGCAGAATACGCTATTTCGCAACTCGCGCAGACGACTATGCGTTCCGAAATCGGTCAGTTGACCCTCGATCACGTTCTTAAGGAACGCGCCAATCTCAATACAAACATCACCAAGGCTATCAATGAGGCGGCTCAGGAATGGGGTGTCGTCTGTCTCCGATATGAGATTAGGGATATCCACGCGCCGGAGGCGGTCGTTGCTGCCATGCATCGTCAGGTTACTGCTGAGCGCTCCAAGCGCGCTGAAATCCTCGAGTCTGAAGGTCAGCGCCAGAGTGCGATCAACATTGCCGAGGGTCGCAAGCAGTCTGTCATCTTGGCTTCTGAGGCTCTGCGTTCTGAAAAGGTCAACCACGCTTCTGGTGAAGCCGATGCTATCAAGCTCAAGGCCGAGGCTACCGCGCTCGGAATTGACGCTGTTTCCCGCGCCATTGAGGAGGGTGGTGAGAACGCCAACAACGCTATTAGTCTCAGCGTTGCTGAGAAGTACGTCGCGGCTTGGTCTAACCTTGCACGTGAGGGAACGGCTGTTGTTGTTCCTGGCAACGTCGGTGACATGGGTGGTATGATTGCCAATGCTATGGCTGTCTACGGCAAGGTCAGCGAGACGCAGGCCCGGGGCCTGGCAAAGAAGACTCTTGGAGTCGAAGGCGCCTCTCAGTCACCGGAGACACCGCAAAGCAGCCAGGTGCCGACCTTTTTTGGGGAACACGCTGAGCAGAACACACAGTCTACTATCGCCTCGCAAACTGCGGACGAGGGATTTGAGACGGTCGCCGGCGAACACAAGAAATAAGCGTCTTTACTTCACCCAACCGAAACGAGAACGACGACTCCTCTCTTGATTTATTCCCTCCACCTTTTTTCTTTTTGTTCTGGCACCTCCACTCAGCTCCCTCGGTGTATGGGTGGGCTGTTTCCCACTCTGCTCTTCCAAATTCTTTTTCGAACTGGGCTCTTTACATTTACCCACCACTTCACATCTCCATTTCTTACATCTCCCACTCCTACTGCCTATTTTCTTCCCATTGTTTCCCGGCATTTCTTAAGGAGTCTTCCAAAACGCACGAGCTTCGCTGTGCATGTGGCATCGGATTCGCCATATTGGTTCCTGTATGTGTACATAAAAGAATTTTTGTTGATCAGAGAGCCGGCGAGGAGGGAGAATATCTCAATGTACAAGTATCAGTATCTTACATCTTTCCAGAAATTGTAGATCAGTTGCGAGACATCGGATGTAAATTGTATCATATCGGCTTTTCGCTTTCATCACTGGTGTGATTATTGCGGATCAGTCGGGTCTCAACATTGAACTATGCTATATCCACTATGTCTCTTCCTCAAAGAGCCATCTATCACATTCACTACGCGTTATTACAGTGGAGATGGAGGTCACCAAACAAGTACATTGTTAACAGCTCTTAGTCAAAAGGCCGTGCAAGTCCTACTTCATTCAAACCGAACACAGGATGGAGAACATACCCGAAAACGAATAGAATCAATCAGTTGAAACCAAAGATGCAGGAATTGGTTCAATATCAAACCTGATCTCAAGTGAGCAACTCTCATCCCAGGTCACAATCCTAGCAATATAATACGTACCTCTAGGAAAGATCTCCAGCACCAGATACACCGCACACTTCCCAACACGCGTACCCAGAAGACCTTGATACTCAGGGGTATTATACTCCCAGATGAGCGGTGCTCTACAAACTGGAGGCCAGGTGAGATCATTGCGCGAGGAATAGATAACCTCCTGCACGAAATTCCTAGTATTGGTGTTGACAATATCACAAACATAGAAGTGTCGCAGACTCTGTGGCTCAGCTATCTCCTGCAAATGAGCCCGGGCAATCTGGGAAAACTGAGGCCCGTCACTTCTGAAGATCCCCTCGGCGATGATCAGTCCCCTTCCAACTAGGATATCATATATGTTCTCGCAGCCAGCAAGACCAAGATCGCCCTCTGCATAATTCCGCGTCAGTGTCTGGTTGTATACCGCTGCATTGGAGTATCCCAGTCCAAATGCATCCTCCGCGACCTGGAATGGGATGTTGTGCTTGTCGGTACGGACGTACCAGCGCGCGCTTGTAAGGTCGGCTACTGTCAGGGTGCTGGGTTGGATTTGACATGTGGGATCTGTGGGGTCTTCGATCCATCGTTGTCGTATGGCTCCTTCGTCTTGGATCTTGCCGTATCGTCGTGCTGGGGTGGATATAGCGGGAGGTGTGTCTGGAGTCGTGGTTGGAATCCCTGCGGGTGGATTCGAAGGAACCCAAGACTGCTCTGAAGGTGCCATGCTGATCAGAACCTTGCCTGTCGATGATTCGAATGAGTATGTAGAAAAACGCTGGGATTTTCTTGATGAATTCTCTTATACTGCTGTTCGAATGGTGAGCCTGGGATACCGATTAAATGACGGATTGATCTATGCCATATATAGCGAGCATATACCAGTATAGAGGACCTGGTTGGGTTGGTATAGATATCCATGAGAAGAAAGAAAAGAAGATCACGGAACAAAGACAACAATGAGCTGGAAGAGAACAATGGTAAAGGCAATATGGGTAGATCATACAATACTGCTTGTCTGAGAGTTTCGACAAAGAACAAAGAGGTCTGTTTCATGAGCTTTGTGCTTCTTTGTGGAAATACATATTCGTTCAAACAAGACAATCACGACTCGAATAGCAATATAAAGCCAGAGCTTTTCCACCTTGTCGAGTATTTTCTTCCATCTATCAACTGACGATTTCTTGATTCACACGCGCAACAATGTCTCTTACCCGACCCAACCACCTAACCTACGAGCAGCACTTCGAGCGAGAATGCGAGATCTTCCAGGAAGCTCTCCTAAGGGAGGCACGCTCCCTTCATCTTATGGAAGACCGCCGCCCAGAGACCATTCAAATCATGTGTGATCTGATTGTCCAGTTGGGTATCCTCGCGCAGCTTGCTGAGACTATGTCTAGAAAATCCCCGATGTGTCCAACTGTCCTGATTAGTCCTCCGGGCTATTTCCTTGGTGAATTCCAGGACTTTTGCCACGCGAAGATTCTACCTGGTCTTGTTAGGTCATTGAACTGCCTCAGGGAGTCGATTACTATCTATCGTGATATCAACTACACAGTCGCTGCTCAATTGGAAGCGGCTCATGAGGATATGGCTTTTGTTTTGGATAGTCGCGAATAGTTAGTTTATTGCATTGGCTAGACATATAGAATGGTTCATTACTTGATGTTCCAAGTTAATAGTTACCTGTATCTTAAAGATATGCCTAGTATAAAATATGTTGTTATCAAAGAATTGTTGTCAATGAGTTGGCATTTTATGGCCTACGTCGTACATAGTCTATTGGTTCTGCTCGCATGACTATTGTAGTTTTGTAATTAGTCCCTCCATACTTCGTAGTAGATAACCAATTTCCTTTTTTCCCGCTTCAAAATATCTTATCTTTTAGATTAATCAAATGGCGGTCGATACATCACATACTCATTTTCGAGGTGGCTCGAGAGAGCTATATCTGTATTCTCTATCACACTTTAATGCACAGGCAGTTGACCATCACACTTTATCTACATATTTTGAGTATACACAGGTCCAAAGCAAACACCATCAAGTGTAAAACAACGTCATTACTTCCGAAAAGTGACAGCATCCAATGATGGGTTCACGATCTATTCGTGTCGCTTCCCCCGCTCTAACCAACCTAAAATTATCACTGGTATATCAAACCCCTTCCCCCCTTTTCCGTTCTTGATCTTATTGTATCCCCCACAACATACCTCCAAATCAATAACATAGCCTACAAAATATCCACCATGTCTAGCTCCGGAAAGGGATATACCACTGACAGCTCTGGCACCAACAGCCAGGTATGCCCCTCCTCCTTGTCCTATGTTATGCCATCAGAACACAAGATATGCATATGTTCTTGGTAAATTCCAGACTACCATCAATATGAAACTTACAAAAAGCCAAATTAGGGCAACCACTATTGCTCTCGTGACTACGGCTCCAGCGCGTCTAACTCGAACAGCTATCACTACTCTAATACGTAAGCACCTGCGTTGAACGAAGCTGCCATGAATAGGCAGTAGATAGAAACAGTTTATCCTGACGTTTCCTCTAGGGATGGATCCTACTACTACTCCAACCCCAATGGAAGCTCCTACTACAACAGCGGGTCGGGAAGCTCGACCTACACTGCCCCCTCTGGAGGATCTGGGAAGAAATGAATTTACATATGATAGCGTTGGCAAGGGATTGATGTATCATGAATGCTTGAGTTATGCGAATAGCTAATGGACGTATATGTTTTCTTTATAAATATCCATGGATGTGTGTTGATGTATTTGGTAAGCATGGTTCGTAGAGAATCTTCACTTAATGCCCCCATAGATTGTAGTGCTTACCAAAAAGATTATAATTAATTACCTATTTTATAGAGAGATTTTCTCTATAACCTTTAGTCTGTATTGTTTGGCTTCATTATCATAGATGATATCTAGATGAGATCTACATGTTTCGCCTCTTTTTCACCAGGGGATGAGGCTCAATGACACCGAGACCCCAACATGCAACTCCGCAGTTGATTCTAAGAGAGAAAAAAAGGATATACTAGTGCCTGAGGAATATTTGATTTTGCTATGATCATTCATTAAAGACAAGATTGTCCAGGTATACACTAAGTGGCCATACTTCCTGGTATAAAACCATGTTTGCCTTGTAACACTTTGTTTGATGAAAGCAACAGATATAAAAAGAAAAGATATCTGCATAAGATAAAACATACAAAATCATAGTGTCCTCAAAAGAAATCAATAAGTGCTAGCTAACTAGCCCTTGCAGTGTAGTTCAAAAGACACTATCAACGCGGGAGCTCGGACCAGGCAAATCTGGAGATCGCGACTTTTGGATTCGCGCCCTTTTAATCTCCGATCTCTCTCATCTGGACCTGAGCCTTATTTTCTTGGTTTCTTTCTTGAATCTCGTGACCAAGGAACCTGTTTGTTTTGGCTCTTGGTCCTGCCATGTTCCACGTCAAACTCATATAAACACCCAAAGACCAGCTCCCGACACGCCGCGCCGCTCCCCTCCTTGCCCACGCTCCGCGCACATTGGTGCTGATACGTGTCGCACGACTTTATCTCGAGACACGGCCACTCAAATCTTTGAGAAATTAGCGAATAAACGTGACTTTTCTCTGGGACTAGCGCGATGCATATCATAAAGCCGGTTTGGCTCACCCATGGAGGTACGGAGCTTGATCGCCCTGGTTTTCTTTGCTCGACGCCGATGGGACGGATACACAGTGCTTCTTGAGAGCAGAACCAAACCATCCCATGAAAGGGCCAAATTTGCTAATGTCATTGCTCTGATACAGGTGAACGCAAGGATTTCGAGGTTTACAGCTGCGATGTCTCGCCAGATGGGAAGCGACTAGTCACAGCTGCTGGAGGTGAGCTCGACCCTTTTTGTTTTGAGGTGGAGGTCACAGACACCATGCGCCGTGGAGGGAATTGTCGCTGACATCCTTGCTTCTGATTCGCTTTAGATGGATACGTGCGAATCTGGTCAACAGATGCTATTTATGGCACCGGAACTCCCGAACTCGAGGGCAAGCCAAAACAACTGGCATCCATGAGCAACCACTCGGGCACAATTCATACCGTTCGTTTTTCACCGAACGGGAAATACCTGGCGTCAGGCGCAGATGACAAGATTGTATGCGTGTACACTCTCGACGCTAACCCTCCAACACACTCGTCAACATTTGGTATGCTTTAAACACACTGGAGATTGAGATGGAGGCAGAAACTGACAGATGTGTGAAAACTCTTAGGCAGCGATGAAGCACCCCCAGTCGAAAACTGGCGCACAATTCGGCGATTGATCGGTCACGACAATGATGTTCAGGATCTTGGATGGTCCTTCGACTCATCGATACTGGTCTCCGTTGGGCTGGACTCAAAGGTCGTGGTGTGGTCTGGTCACTCCTTTGAAAAGTTGAAGACGATAGCAATCCACCAGAGTCATGTCAAAGGCATTACTTTTGATCCGGCAAACAAATATTTCGCAACTGCTAGCGATGACCGGACTGTCCGCATCTTCCGATTTACATCCCCTGCCCCCAATTCTTCAGCTCACGACCATATGAACAATTTCGTCCTTGAGCAAACAATCACAGCCCCATTCGCCAATTCTCCTTTAACGGCCTATTTCCGTCGCTGTTCTTGGTCGCCTGATGGGATGCATATCGCAGCTGCAAACGCTGTGAACGGTCCTGTGAGCTCTGTGGCCATTATTAACCGTGGATCGTGGGATGGCGACATCAACTTAATTGGACATGAAGCGCCTGTTGAAGTTTGTTCGTTCTCTCCAAGACTTTACGCAACCGAGCCGCCCGGTAAGAAGCAAGCCGATGGGCAGCCTGTACCGCAACACCATATTACCGTCATTGCTTGTGCCGGTGGAGACAAATCTCTCAGTATCTGGATTACAAGCAATGCACGGCCGATTGTGGTTGCGCAGGAAATGGCTGCTAAGGCTATTTCGGACCTAGCATGGACTCCTGATGGAAAATGTCTCTTTGCTACTGCTCTGGATGGCACAATTGTGGCAGTAAGGTTTGAAGATGGCGAGCTGGGCTGGGCCACGGAAATGGAAGAGAACGAAAAATCACTCACTAAGTTCGGAACTAATCGAAAGGGTGCCGGTATCACAGAAACCACCGATAGCTTGTTGCTGGAGGAAAAGAGCAAGGCCGGTGAGATCAAGCACGTCGAAGGGAGAATGGGTGCACTGATGGGCGATAGCGCTGAACCTGCTACAAATGGGGACAAAGCCCCACAGCCATCAAATGGAACCACACCTGCTCGGGGCTCTTCGCCAGCTCCTGAGGCTACGAAGACCCAGACGAATGGAACTCCTTCGACACCTGCTGCTACAGAAACAGAGAAGCCTGATCCTTACAAAGCCAAGCTGGAAAGACTTAAGCAACGTCCAACATACACCAAAGAGGGCAAAAAGCGTATCGCTCCATTACTAGTCTCCGGAGCTGGGGCCGGCGAGTCATCTCTCCCGCAAGCCCGTTTGATGGCATCTGTCAGCAATCAGGTCAAGGCTGACGCGCCGACCACCATTGTTGACCTGTCAAAACCCTTCGATGGTCTACCCAAGGGTGGCCTGGCTGCTCTTCTTCTTGGAAACAAGCGCAAGCTAGCCCAAATAGAAGGCGACGAAGATGGAAGTGTAGAAAAGCGTGTGACACTTGCCAGTCAAAACGGTGCAACTCCCATCATGGCCAATACACCCGACGGCCTTCTACCAGCTCAAGTTCAAACTGCCACGACCGGTCAACACCCAACTCCAGAGTTCATTCGTCCTGCAGTCACAAATCCTTGCATGTCGGTCAGCCAACTTCGTCTAGCAGTCCCCAAAATCCGCAGCCAGATTCTCCGCGCCCTAGATTCGAGCGGCAAACCGACGGAACAACCTGGCCCTGGTACAGACTCAAGCTCTACCAAGAGTCGGGTGGACGTGGTTTTCGAAGCTCGGAACCCATCACCAGCAAGTCTGACCGGCCGAGCTGTGGACCGCGAGCCAGTACGTCTGACATTGTTCCGCGGAGATCAGCCATTGTGGCAGGACTTTTTACCACGGACTGTCCTTCTTGTGACTGGTAATCAGAGCATGTGGGCAGCTGGATGTGAGGATGGATCAATCTACCTTTGGACACCGGCAGGTCGCCGTCTGGTAAGTGCGCTCGTTCTCGAGGCACAGCCTGTTATATTGGAGTGCAATGGTCCGTGGATCCTGTGCATCTCCTCTGTGGGCATGTGCTATGTCTGGAACGTGAAGCACTTGTCTTCTCCTCACCCTCCAGTCTCCCTCCAGCCTGTCCTGGATGCAGCAATTCATACTATGGGCGCCAACCCCACTGCCGCTCCTGCAGTAACAGACGCAAGAATCAACTCGGAGGGCCGAGTCATCGTTTCTTTGTCCAACGGCGAAGGATACTCCTATTCTCCATCCATGTTCACATGGCAGCGCATCTCGGAAGCTTGGTGGGCTGTCGGCAGTCAGTACTGGAACACCACAGACGCACCCGTGAGTAACTTGCAGGCCAAGGACGCACAGCAAGACAACAAGGACGCCAAGGCAGCTGTCGCAGCCGGCATCATTCCTTGGTTAGAGCGAAACACTACGAATGAGACTCTCCTTCGCGGAAGAGCGTACTTCCTCCAGCGTCTTATCAAGGTTTTATTGTCACGCGAAGGATATGAGACTTTCGAGTCTAGCGTATCCATTGCTCATCTCGAAAACCGTCTCGCTGCTGCTCTGTCCCTAGGTGCCAAGGAAGAGTTCCGGTTATACCTATCTATGTATGCCAAGCGCATTGGTGCCGAGGGTCTGAAACTGAAGGTCGAGGAGCTCCTGAAGGGCCTCATTGGAGGTCTTTTCGAGGACGAAGATGATGCCAGCGAGGGAGTCTTGAAATTGCAGGCCAATGAGCGCGAAGGCCGTAACTGGCGCGAGGGATCTGATGATCTGTGTGGCTGGCCACGGGAAACATTGTTGAAGGAGGTGATTCTAGCACTTGGTATGTTTCTGTTCTTTATGCTTTTTTCTTTTGATGCTTCAAATACTAACGAACTTTCATCTAGGCAAACACCGCGACCTTCAACGTGTGACAGTGCCTTACGCTAAGCTTCTGGATATGGTTGACACTACATCAGAGCATGGCGATGCAATGGATCTCTAATGATGGTTTCTCTCTTGCTACCTATACCTTTTCTTCTGTTTTCGCTGGCGTTCAATAAGTTCGGGCTGGGTCGCCCAAAAGGGTTTGCATTATTTATCTCTGCTGAGGCGGGATTGGAGATGATATATCTCATTTTCATGGTGTATTTGTATCATAGGTTCTTTTTTGGGTCTTTCTTATTCAAGTTAACCTGTTCCTTTCTTGCTATGATCTGGTTTTGTTCTAGGATCAAGTAGACAGACCCTAATAACTCTCGATACACACAGTATTACGTACATGACACCCACATTGCTTCAGTGACGTCGTCAGGGCTTGACTCTCACGTGGGCGGTGACAGCTCTGCAGGCAGAAAATTTGAAGATATCTGGCGCGTACCTCAACAACATTGCATTTTGATAGCTAAACACGCATTCATTTACTCTCTTTATATACATTGACCTTGTCCGCAATTGCTGTGGGCAACCGCAATCACGTCTTCTACTTCCTCCATCTTCTTCCTTCGTATCGTCGATCGATCCGCAGCTGGTTCTGCATTTGGCGCGCTCCATCCTTGTTCCCGCTTCCGCCTTTCGACTTCCCCCCACCTCCCACCTCTCTTCTGTCGCTTCTACTCAAGCAAGAAGAAAAAATCCAATAAAATGCCTCCCAAGAAGCAGATAGTCCAGGAAAAGGTCCTTTTGGGCCGTCCAGGAAACAACCTGAAGAGCGGTATCGTATGTGAGCTAGGCCCCCACCCTTTCTTTTTTTTTTTTCCTTTTTTCCACACAGCACAGTCCACTTTTTACCTCCCGAAAAACTACTTAAACCCCCTTGCCCCCTTCCGTCTCACATTTTTTTTCTTCCTTTCCTCCCAACCATGATTGACTAACAATATGGCTTCAGGTTGGTCTTGCCAATGTCGGCAAGTCGACACTCTTCCAGTCCATCACTAAGTCCTCCCTCGGTAACCCGGCCAATTTCCCATATGCCACCATTGACCCCGAGGAGGCCCGCGTTATCGTTCCCGATGAGCGGTTCGACTGGCTCTGCGAGCACTACAAGCCCAAGTCGCAGGTTCCTGCTAACTTGACCGTGTACGATATTGCCGGTCTCACCCGCGGTGCCTCGACTGGAGCCGGTCTGGGTAACTCTTTCCTGTCGCACATCCGCGCTGTCGATGCCATCTTCCAGGTGGTTCGCTGCTTCGATGATGCTGAGATTATCCACGTTGAGGGTGACGTCGATCCTTGCCGTGATCTGACCATCATCAACGAGGAGCTCCGCATCAAGGATATCGAGTTTGTTGAGAAGGCTCTTGACCTTCTTGGCAAGCAGACTCGTCGTGGTGGACAGTCTCTGGAGATGAAGAAGCTCAAGGAAGAAGAGGCTACTACTGCCAAGATTCTTCAGTTCCTGAAGGATGGCAATGACATCCGCAAGGGTGATTGGAGCCCCAAAGAGGTATGTTGAAAATTTTTTCTACTTCTTTTCCCCACTCAACTTGCCCTTTTATCCACACCCAACTCCTTTCCTGATGAATAAGAGCACTGCTCGAAATTAACCCAGCTCGTTGAGTGCCCTCATTAAAAGGATACTCACAATCCGAGGGCACCTTGAGAAAAAAAGTTATATGCTGAAAATTTTGGAGTCCACTTCTACATGATTGCATCACTTAAACTCTTTGAGAATTCTCATGCTAACCAAGTTGGTTATAGGTCGAAGTCATCAACCCTCTGTTCCTTCTCACTGCCAAGCCCGTTGTGTACCTTGTCAACCTGAGCGAGAGAGATTACATCCGCCAGAAGAACAAGTACCTCCCCAAGGTCTTTGAGTGGATCAAGACCAACTCGCCCGGTGACCCCATCCTTCCCGTCTCGGCTCAGTTCGAGGAGCGTCTGACCCTGATGCACGATGATGCGGCCGCTGAGGCTGAGTGCAAGACCCTGGGCACCAAGTCCGGTCTGCCTAAGATCATTACCACTATGCGTCAGTCCATGAACCTCGGCAGCTTCTTCACCACCGGTGAGGACGAGGTTCGCCAATGGACCATTCGCAAGGGTATCAAGGCTCCCGCCGCGGCTGGTGTTATTCACACCGACTTCGAGAAGACCTTCATCCAGGCCATCGTGTACAACTACGCTTCTCTCCGTGAGTACGGTGATGAAAACGCCATCAAGGCTGCTGGTAAAATTATGACCAAGGGCAAAGATTACGTCGTCGAGGACGGCGATATCATGCTCATCAAGGCCGGTGCTGCTAAGCACTAGGTGCACATAGCCCATAGTTCTTTAAATGATACACCAGTGTTAAGTCTTCAAAATTTTTTCCAACTGTAGATCTCAATTTATCTCCTGTCCAATTTGACTTGACTGGTGCATAAATCATCTTGGTTCGCTCTGTCGTATTCGTTAGGTTCAAGATGCGTGTTTGGTTACAGGACATACCATATTTCCCTTCTGTAGATGGCCCAATTGCCTTGAGTATTTGGATATCAATCTATCATAGCTCATCCACCCTGTAGGATCATACAATCCATTATATTCTGAGCCCGTTCAGCATCAAGTAAAAAAATGCAAAGCACCCTATCAGTCACGTGACGACATCCCCGCGCATCCCACTTGCGTATCAAGAGCTTGATTCTCATATTATCACACCCTCAACCAACATCATGTTTAAGAAAGAGTGAGTTAAATGCATCAATCAACTCACAACTATCCCACCGCTAGTCCAGCTCCTTGATTGAAACCCTCTGCATGCCGAATGGGAGCACTGAACTCCCTCCGCTTGCAGGCACCGCGAAGGCCGCAGGAGCTGTCCAACACTCTAGATCAAGACATACACAGCTTCTATGGGATAGCTTTTGCTACATAAGTTTATCAAAGACACTAGCTAACATCCGTGTCTCATCTAGTATCCCCCCAAGCAACCGGTCTAAGGTGAAGTCCTCAGTGCAGCGCGGCCTGCGCCAAAAGCTGCTGGAGACATACCCAGGCCTGGAGCCTTTCATTGAAGATGTCATGCCAAAGAAAGCTTCATTGGAAGCTGTGAAACTGTACGCATCCCATCCCCCCAGTTTTCGCCTCCCAATTCCAGCAACGTCATCTCCGACTTTCAACACAAACATACTATGCATCTTATGCTACAGGCCCAAAAGCTAACCAAACCCACCACACCACCCCAGACCCGATCGCGTGACCCTCTACACAATAGACTCAACCCCCCTCTTCTTCCAGCCCATCGACGGACCCCCAGTCCCCCACCTCCGCCTTATCCACGCCTACCCCTCCGCTGTCCCGACAATCCAGATCGACCGCGGCGCCATCCGCTTCGTGCTCTCTGGAGCAACACTCATGGCTCCCGGTCTCACCTCCCCCGGAGGCCGTCTACCTGATGCCGAGCATGCCCTTGAGGCTGGGCAGATTGTTGGTGTCAAGGCTGAGGGGAAGGAGGAGATTTGTATGATTGGTATGCTGAAGGTTGGCACTGAGGAGATTAAGAGTAAAGGGAAGGGAGTTGTTATTGATGAAGGCCATTATCTTGGTGATGGACTTTGGAGAATGCATTTGGATTAAGAGGCATGGTTTTCTTTTTTTCTAAAGAAGAAGCATGGAACGAATTCATTGGGCTGGGGTTGGGGTCTTTTGATTGGGCTTAGAACTATACCTCTATGCACGTATGGTGATGATTATGTGTTGGATGATTTGAAATGAAATATCCCCCCTCTGGACAAGGATCCAGACTGGTGCAATCGATGTATTGATTAAATGTACACGTAGATAGGTTCTTGTAGTGAGGCTGTAAGAGTAGTTCTTGATACAAGGCTTAGCAGTTCTATACGTTGTAGGAGAGGCCGAGGTATATACTTAGGTGATCCTCTGCGGGGAGGTACTCGGAGGTCCTTAGCTTCAAATATCCACTTCCCTCATTTTCATCAATGTCTCTTTTGATCCAGTCGACCCTTATCTCACGATGCCTTCCAACGGCGGAAAATGCCGATTGTGGTCTCGGCCAGTGAGTCAAAGCCAGTGAACCTTGAAGGGATATCATACATAATAAATACTCATATTTACTCCTATTACAAACTATACTGCATTAGATCCTTCAAATATTGTTTGAAGCCGCAGACCACTCGGGAATGTACTTTTGAAGCAGATCCAGCGCCGGCATCCACGCAAGCAGCTCCGGGTTATTACGTAGAGCCCAAAGAGTGTTTTTAATCTCAAATCGAGGCGCATTTCCTTGGACCTCCCAACGTGTGTGAGTACCCCATATCTTCTCCTGGAATAGCGGAAGAAAAGGATGTAGCCGGCTCATCGCATCGTTGATAAACATTTCCAGCCAGCAGGAAAAGGATATTGCTTGCATAGAGCGAGAGCACTGTCCACTGACTAGGTCAAATGTTTCTTGAAGATCTATTGGGGCCGGCTGGATCAAATTATAAGCATGGCCCACGTTCTCCTCGAAGGCGGCGATTCGCAGCATCGCATCCACCACGAAATCCACCGAGGTGAAGGCTTTGCATTGCCCCGGCACGACGGGGTAATAACCCAGCCGAAGACAGGATGACATGAGACAACTGATAAAATCCTTCGGGTTCCCTCTTCCCGTCCGACTGTGGCCGAGGACATACCCAAGACGGACGATGATCGCCGGCGAACCATTGTGGATAGCATTCCATACTATATTTTCCGCCACGAACTGGCTTTGGGAATATCCAGTGTCGTACTGCAGAGCTGCAATATGGCTTAGTGGCTGCTCATCCTCTGAGACGGTCTTGGTTCCTTGGACAAATCCTGTAGGTCCATACGCGGCGAGGCTTGAGGTGTAAATGAGCCGTTTTGGTCGGGAGTGGTTGGCAAGCCTTATCATTTCTAATGTTCCGAGGACATTGGCCGCTCGGTGACAGGAGTATGGCTGGATGTAACTGACTAGTGCTCCCAAATGAAAGACCACACTCGCCCTGGTTGCATAGTGATTGTACTGTTCTTGAGGAAGGCCGAGGCGCGGGAGGGACAAGTCGCCGGGGACAGAGATGATTTTTCTCTCCTGGGAACCAGGCAGTCTGTACTTCTCTAGTGTTTTCTTAATGCACAAATCGGCTGCAGATGTGTCCTGCACCCGAACAAGACATGCGACTTGGATGACCTGGGGCATAGACAGCAGTGTTGCGAGAAGGAATGCGCTGACGAATCCAGTGGCTCCGGTGAGGAATACTCGGCCTTCTGAAGCGTCGAGCCAGTCGACGGCTGGATTGAGACTGGCCGGCAGGTCTTGACCTAGAAATGAATCACGAGCTAGCACGCTTTGCTCGTCCACTGCGTCTGGCAAAGCTGCTCCATTCTTGTGCTTTTGAACCAGCTGGGTGAGCTGGCCTAGTGTGGAATTCTCGTAAAGGGCTGTGGACCGTAGCTCGATTCCTAGTGAAAATCGAATTCGGCCGATGAGATATGCGACTTGAAGTGAGGTTCCGCCCATATGGAAGAAGTCATCAGAAGAATGCAGGCGGTCCTTTGGATATCCCAGTATCTCGAGCCAGAGTTTCCGCTCGGTAACACTCGACTCTCATGCGCGACCCTCATCTTCTCGGTATATAGTTGTTCAAGCTTCCTTCGGTTATACTTCCCTATTATCCCCAATGGAAGCTCCGCGAGGAGCTCAACGCGAGGCGCGGCAAGACGAGGAGCGCGGTTCACGAATTCTCGTGCTAAGATCTCCCGGTCGATATGAATGCATTGCGGTACAATATAGGCAACCAGTATTGGCCCCATGTCGGCATCCTTGGGGTCAACCTTGACAACCGCTGCTGCGGAGGCGAGGTTCGTGCTCAAGAAAATATTCTCAAGACCTTCTAACTCGACACGATGGCCCCGGACCTTGACTTGCCTGTCGCAACGGCCGACAAAGTTGTACAACCCAGACTCATCCACGCGCATGATATCACCTGTTCTATAGGCATGACACGGGAATCCCATTGCGATACCTTTCAATGGAAAATGTTGGGGGTCTACAAACGACTTAGCGGTGGCTAGAGGATTCCTATAATATCCCCAACAAACTCCTGCACCCGTTATTATTAGCTCCCCTTCGCTGCCCATCGGAGCTGGATTGAGATTTTCGTCAACAATGAACAGCTGCAAATTATCAATTGGCCTTCCGAGCGGAATATGACCATTGTGAATATCGGCTGCAGTGACTTCGTGCGAGATTACAAACACAGTGCATTCTGTTGGCCCGTACATGTGGACTACTCGCTCTGGGGAACCATGATCGAATATTCTCCGAATCACCGGCACGTTGATAATCTCACCACCGGTCAGTAGAGTGTAGACAGTGGAAAATTCTCTCAGGCAGATGTTGACAATTGTGTTTAGCAACGCGGTAGTGACGAACACAACCTCGATTCGGTCCTGACGGAGACTCTGTGAGAAGAGAACGGGGTCTATTACTGTCTTATGTGGATAGACCACCACCGTTCCACCTCTCAACAAGCACACCCAGATTTCATACAGGGCGATATCGAAGACCGTATTGCCGATGTGCGCAAGGCGTTGGCAATCTTCAAATGGAGTGGTAGAATTGAATGCCAAGTTGATGATTGCATGAGGACGGCTCTAGAAAAAAATTTTGGTCTAGTATTAATAAATCTGACTGTTTTTCTTTCAACTACCTACTCTCGCTCTAATCTAACCAAGGTTCTCTCGACAGGAAGGAAGAGAGAGGGCAAGAGCTCTGAGGCTATCAAAATTGTGGCCTTAGGCAACAAGTACAAGTAGTATAGAGGAGGCTCTTTCAGGTATCTCTGGTTATATATAATGGAAGGTATAGTAGCTATACCCGGGATAGGTATACCTATAGGCCGTAGGCGTTATAGACGGGCACTCGAAAATCTAAATAGCCTACCGCCTACTATGGACAGGCGATGGGTACCTCCTAGGTGCCTATGGACGGGCGATGTCGCAGTCTAGTCCCTTAGTACAGGTAATGGATGTCTTCCTCTAGGATAAGTTCTACAACCTAGCTAAGACCTCCAGTAACAAAACAGCTCTCGTCGCTAATTTTCAGTTAAAACAAACTTCTCGGCAGTACTGTAGGGCAGGGGGCAAATTAGCGACCTACGAGAATGCTACTTGCACAACTTATCTGACTTTCAGTCTTATAATCTAGTGTACGTTGATATACTCAGATACAAGAAGAAATAAACTCAGGCGAATTGGCAGGTCACCCCTTAACGTGACAGCTATGCAAGTATCATCGTTTCAGCGTGATTAACGATATCAGATACCATCTACGTATGCCTAAGACAGAATAAGGCTCTTGCATGTCTCCCATGGTTCAAAAAGTACTATCATTTTAATGATTCCATAACCTAGGTACTTCGGCATTGCTGGAACTGGGTCAAGCCTGGGATATTATTGCTACTTATGGATAATGCGTCGTATTATTATGAAGTGCGAACTGTGCAGATGCATACCGACACAAGGGCGAGTTAGCCTTGGGATAGGCTTGGCCATATTTCTCACGACACCCTGAAACACTGGTCCCATTTCGATTGATGAAACCAAGCATATTTAAATACATGTAATACGGTTTCCATGAACCCCTCTCAAGTGCTCGGTCAAATTATCCTTCCGGCTGAAGAGCCTACCGCACACGTGGCACTCAAAGGACCGCGGAGTGATATGCTGAGTGTCAATGTGGCGCATTAGAACTCCTTTGCGAGAGAAGGTTCCTTGATATCTGCAACCCTGCCAAAGGCACTGGAAAGAGCCACGATGATTACTGAAATGAAAGTGGTGTTAGCAGCAAAGACTATCATTATGTGATACCGAGGCTTGATGGTTCATTGCTTACTCTTGTTTGGGCTTGCGTCTCCGACCAAGAGTATCACTAGTCTTTGTTTCCTCAGCATTGCCCCTAGAAACATGATCCTCGTGGGCCATTGGCTGGGTTGACTCTTGTGCGACAAAAGTGGCTATTGGGGAAGAGGTAGATGAGATATTTTGCCTAAGGCTAAAAATGCCATTTTTCGAGGCCTGATGCATAGTGTTATGATTGAGGCAACAAACAGAGGGATAATGGGGTATAGCAGGCACCATGAAGTCAGGGTCAGGCTGAGTGGAGGGCCCTTGGATGGTATTATTGCAAAGCGGAGTATACATAGAGAACTCAGGCTGCCCAGCGATGATGGAGGTAGTTGATTGGTGATCAAAAGAGTTTCGGGGGTGACTGAAGTGACCGGCACCCCCGTCGCTCTCGTTCAACATGACAAAACCACTTGATGGATCGTTATATTGCCTCGTCATTGTGATGTTTGTCAAAGAATATAGAAGATATAGAAGCAGTTCGAACTTTCGTTCGAGGAGGTTTGGGCTTTGGTTGCCAGAACTTGGAATGAGAAAGGAAAATGCATAAAGTACATCTTAAATATTCGGTACAAAGCTGGGGGGTGGGGGGGGGAAAGAGAAATGCGGCTCTCTCAATTATATATTCAGTATAAAGCTGAGGGGGGGAAGAAATGCGGCTCTCTCAATTATATATTCGGTATAAAGCTGAGGGGGGGAAGAAATGCGGCTCTCTCAATTATATATTCAGTATAAAGCTGAGGGGGGGGGAAGAAATGCGGCTCTCTCAGCCTGTCCACATTTACATTTGAGATACCACACTAGGCTGCATTATTTTTAGTTTACTAAAGAGATTTAAAGTATGAATCCTTTAATATAGTATATAGAATCTAAGTTAATAAGCTATTTATACTAAGAACTAAAAAGCTTCCTCTTATATTTCCTTTATTATATATAATGTAGTGGGGGACCTTGCCTCCCACTACGTGTTGACCTTGCCTGTCCTGTCTTTACGAAGTGATTTTATTATGTAATCTTGGGGAGCCGGAGGATAACGTACTTCCACGGCCGTTAGGAATCGAGAACTTAAGAATACTTCGAAGAGCCTTTGCACTAACGGTTCCTCTTATAATGCGTGGTCTCTGTATAATGCTTTAAATTCCCTTATTTGAGCCTTATCGTTAATACTGTCGAAAGCGCCAGGATCTGGGCGGCTTTAGGATCCCCTGTTGTACCCGAGGTGTGGAGGATATGGGAACAGCTCGATGGCCCATTGGAGGAAACCTCAAAATTCTTGTCAGATAGTTCAGAGTTCAGCGTATGGTCCACAGGGATCTTGTCGATCTCTAGAGCTCGATCCCAATTTTCGTCATCCACCAGAGCCAGCTTCACATCAAGGTTTTCGAGAAGCCTCCGGAGAAAGACATCTGGCTGCTTCATATCTAAGGGAACACAAGCTCTGCCAGCATAAACAATGGCAATTTGCGCCAAAATATGGTTGACCCCCCGAGGGATGACGATTGCAATTGGAGTTTCTGATTCCGAAGTTGCCAGTCGGATCAGTTGCGCGAGCTGGAGGGCTTTAACGTGCAATTCTTCTTATGAAATGGCATGTTTGTCGGATTCTATGGCTGTCACTGGGCCAAGAAGCTGGGCCTCCGCTTTGAAAAGCGGAGCAAGCCCTACGTGCCTCACTAGGCTTGTATCAAGTTTCCTCGCACACAGGGGAGACGGCGACATAGCGAAACCAGCACGAAAACTTTGGAGTATAGGCCAAGAGAAGCAAGCTCTCAGGCTATATACTGAAGCAATGTGTCGTAGTCTAGCAATCCAGTGGCTTGTTTTCTACTTCACCCTTCCTCGTAGTCAGAGCTTCTTGGTAGTTTGCCTAAGACTTGGTCGACCTAACGGTGCATTGTGATACGTTCCACGCTGACGTTATTTAAACACACTGTGATCTATCTTTATAAAAACATGTAGAGTATCCTGCTGTGTTTAATCATATACGCGATCCGAAGCGAGTGACGATCATCAGTTTGGGAGTTGCCACTCTCATGTGCACAACATGCTTCAATTAATTCTTTTCCTTTTTTCAACTGACAGTTATTCAGTGAGTATTTTAGACTGCTTTTCCGAGCACATATGTGGTTATTAAATAGTTACTTCAAAGGCTTTTAGAGTTGTGGTCAATGTAACATACAGTGTACCCCTGTCGAGACGACCCCAGATCCAACTTGTATAGCAACCAAAAATGAGAAAGTATGTCTCTGATGTTTTACCGGTGGGACTTCAAGTCATGATGACCAACAAAAATTACCTTTGAGATTCCATACTGATCTGCCTAGCGTTGATTGAATTGGCTGTTTGCGCTGTCTCTTTCAGTTCTACCTAAAACCCGAGGTGATACTGCAGTACTCGGCTGTCTACTTCTCCACAAAAATCAAGCTGGTTAAGCAGGAAAGGTCAAACACGAGATATCGGGTAACACAGCATGCATAATATAATTTAGACGCATAGACGTTGCCGTTGTATACAACCCATGCTGATGACATCTCTATTAGTTTGGCGGAGCCTCTGTGGTAATGAAACCTCAAGCTCGAAGCCATAAAATGGCTCTGCTTTGCAGGCTAATTGAACACATTCCGAGCTTTCAAGACCGGTTGAGTGTTCTTGCACTATCGAAACATCCCATATCGACATAGAGATCTGACCGAACCTGAAAATGCATGTGTGTCAAATCAATCTACTCCAGTACCTGCGCTCAAAGACCCAGGTCGATGTTGATAGCTTTGACGCCGATAGTATGGAAATATGCTCTATTTCATCCTTATTTTTAGCTTAGTGCGATACGCTAACACGCTTCTCATCGGTGTCAACGGAAGTCCCAGGATGTGTCGATGCAACATCCAACTAAGTACATATATTGCGTTTCGAAAATTGCCGTCAGAGGAATTAACTGATAGTAATTCTTTTCTTCTCATAGGCAGAGATCTATTGGGAGATGATCAAGCCACGCCACGCCAAGCCTGCCGTTTCATTTTCCAGGATCTTTTTAGTTAAGTTGATTGAAATCTTTTGACTAGAATTTGACCGATTAGCTTCCAGTGATAGATAGACTAGATATTGGCTAGAGCTACTATTGAGTAATTAGTCAAGGAAAACAGCCTCGGAAACCGTCGATATTTCATGCAGCTTGATTGCTTGCATTCCTGTCTGACAGATCGGGGTTTGTCCTAGGCCGACTGCGGTACATATAAAGTCACTCACTACCCCAGTTTCCATGGAGATTGTCACCGTTCTTTCCAATTTTTACCTCCATCCTTATCATTATTCGTTTCAGCCTGTGATTCCTAAGTCGTGAATGGAAAGACTTTTGGACATTATGTTACATTGATTATCGACATAATTGAATTTCAAACCCCTGATCAACTAGCTTTGTATGATGACAAGACGTAGTTCATCAGTAAGTACGGAGTAGATCACCTAATATATATATACATATACGCACAGAGAGACCCACCTGTACTAGTCCTAAAATAAGAACGATCGGAAGAGTCGACCGAATGTTCCGTTTTATTTTTAGTCATTTCCCCTGAATAGCTTCATATTGGCTATGTCTCGACTTTATGGTACCTAGCATAATCATGGGAGTTTCCGGTTCTACTCTGTCGGGGAGACCACTCCGGATGCAAGCCCAACGTGTCGATCCATCTGATACTCCGGCAAGTCATCAAATAGCTGTTGGAATCATAAACAAATACTAACAGTAGAACCGATATTAGACGACCCAGGGCTCCCTAAGGGATGTCTTTGGCGAGTATACAATTATCAAGGAAAAGTTCAACCAAACATCTAGCACAAAGGTGACAGATGATTGGAAAAATATATATCTAAATGATTGCTCAAGTCTGACTCTGCATTATAGAGAGATTGGTACTGCAAACACAAGTATGACCGCGAGGGCGGCCTGGATGGATACCATTATGTCCATTTGTGAGTTTAGCTTGTGTGATTCTAATATCTGGTGCTAACATATTCAGGGATGGCCGGTACTTTTCCCAAAACCCGGATGGAAGTAAAGAGACCATAAATCCCATATTGAAGGAAGCCTTCTACACTCCACCAGGAAGCAATCACCAGATAGAGTGTTCAGATGAAGTGGATTGGGAAGAATTGAATGAAATACCCGACCTTTGCATCGCAAGGGCCTCTGTAACTCACGAGGCTGTGGCAAAATTCATACAGGAAATGAAGAGCCGAGCAGGTAGGCTTGAGTAGCACACAACAAATGTCATGGCTAACATTGCGTAGACAGGACCATTCAAATCGATCGCACTAAGAACAGAAAGATCTGTGCAAGGATGCTAAAAGGAAAGGAAACTGCAGATATGGAGACCGATGACGAGGCCGAAGAGACTGAGACTGAGACCGAGGAAGTGTCGGATGAAGAGGGGGCCACCAAAAAGCAGAAGGAGAACCAGCAAAGGAACGATTGCGAGGAAGATCACACGCCGCAGGAGACAGTGGCGCACAGAAAGACATTAACACCCGAGGACCAGATGCTAAGGGCTGTGACGCCAATTTCCGCTTTGACATCGGCCCATGAGTCAACCGATGAGCACACGAATTTAGGAGAGGCTGACGGTACATCTTCTCAAAAGCGGAAGGCCATTGAAATGGATGACGGCGAGGACGAGACGATGAGGACCCCAGCTGCAAAGAGGCCGAACACTCATAGGAGACGCGAGCCTGAGCTTACCGCTGCCCAAAGGCAGGAGCAGAAACAAATCGCCAATAGGAGGAAGCGAGAGCGCGCGAAGACGAGAAAGGCGTTGGCGAGATAGGAGATGTAAGACAGGACGTTAGAGTCCTAGTCTTCCCAGATATATATCCCGTTACCATGTTCACTTTAAGCTTGAGATATCAGCATTGCATCCGGTGTGGATCGATTACGAAGTACTGCCAGCAGGGATGTTGAGCAGTTCTTGTATTCAAGCTCTCATGGTCGTTAGAGTTCCCAATCCTGACGTTATGCAGACATAGTATCGAATCCGGCATCACATGCCGAACGTGATCCGTGCTGGTGTTGAATATTTAAATTTCTTTGTCATGACCATATGATGGTTCCTGCATTCTATCGAGTTGAGCCGGGAACCGCAGTCAACATGCTCACATGTCACCAGTGCTCATGTTAGGTATTAGGATGGAAGAAGCGGATGGACATCACGGGTCTGGTGGTTCCACATTGCCCATGGCGTTTATTAGTGCGGAAGAGGCGTTTCGACCTGATGTTGTCTGTGTGGAGTGTCACTGAAACTCAAAAAGCTGTAAGAAAAGCATGTAATATCTGAATCTCAAATACCCAAAACCCCAATGGTGGGTGGTAGGGGAGTCGAAGAGGTGTGAAATAGCGGCGTTAAGAAGTGAAGTAAGTCGACTCCAGCAAATAGTGAAGTCAACACCTCTAAGGCTGGGATATCAAAAACGACAATAGACAGAGACCTGGGTGAAATTATGGAGTATTATATAAACAAAGTGACCAAAGTCAAAAAAAAAAAAAAAAAAAAAAAAAGCAAGCCAACGCATGCATCGTCCGATTACATAGTCTACATCAATAGATGAAACCTCGAAAGGCCGACTAAGCACCTGCAAAAAAAAGAAAAAAAAAAAAAACGAAGAAAGCCATCCATTCATTACCATTCCTCCACGATTAAAACCCAATTCTCAGGAAATAAATCTCAACTCACCTCACCTTGAAGCTGAACTCATACCGAGCCTAGGCATATACCCAAGCTCGGCACAACAGCCAATCTTCGAGATGCAATTTAAAGGAGAGCGAGGACACCGGCCAGAAGACCAGCAGCGGCACCGGGGGCAACGAGACCCATAGCAGCACCGGTGGAGGCAGTGGCGGAGGCAGCGGCAGAGCCGGTAGCGGTACCGGTGGAGGAAGCGCTGGTAGTCAGACGGGTGCCGGTAGCAGTGCCGGTAGAGGACTGGGTGCCAGTGGAAGTTCCGGTAGAGGTAGTAGAAGAACCGGTAGCTGTACGGAGAGAGATGTCAGTGCTGTTCTTGCCAGGGAGACCAGTAGTACGGGAGCCAGAAGTAAGGGGTCCGGGAATAGAGGGTTTGATAGACACGTCCGGGGTGGAAGTACCAGTAGTGGAAGCATCGGTCTCAGTGGTAGCAGTGGAAGTACCGGAAGAGACAACAGAGGTAGAGGCAGTAGAAGAGGAAGATTCAGTGGAAGAGACAGTGGAAGATGTACCGGTAGTAGTAGCGGAGGAGCTCTTGGCCTCGGTCACATCGAACTGCTCGGACTGGGCGAGGATGCCGGTGTTCTTAGCGTCGGTGGAGAGCAGGTTGATCTGGAAACCGGAGCTGCAGTGCGCGTTGAGTGTTAGTTGACTGCATACATATACAATCATCGCTTCGCAAAGGTGATCTTACCCGCTGCTGACATCCTTCAGGCCGGAGACAGTGTAGCTGCCCTTGGAGGTGTCGATGCCGGAGGCAATCTTCTCAGAGACGGTGGGGTAGACGGCATTGTTGACGAGAACAATATCGACGGTGGAGGCGTCGGTGCTATAATGGGTTAGTCTTGGCTTTTATCATCAGGGTATGGTGTGGGGGAATCATAGTTAACATACTTAACGGAAGTCCACTTCACAGTGAAAGAGCCGGAGACATCGACATCGGCACCCTTGGCAGGCTCGGTGACGTTGATGGCTGGATTGATTGTTAGAGAGACACTTGTGACACAGGGGAATTTACATACCCGCAACGGAGAGGGCCAAAGGCAGGAGAGACAGAATGGTGGAGAAACGCATGTTGACTGAATTAAAGCGAGTGTAGTGGTTTAAAAAACGAATGTACGTTGGAACGTTAAAGAGTGAGAGTGATGCGAGAGGAAAGATGAAAGTTGGAAAAATATTCAGATTCAAGGATCCATGTCATTAAGTAGGATGACCAAACACTCCATCTGATATTGCACAACCTTGGATGCCCTGAACCGTCAACAATGTCTCTGACACCCACCTACCAATACGGAAATATACCTGAAAATAGAACTGACATAGCCAGGTACCCGGTTTTAGAGCATTCTAATAATGTTTTTAATCCTTTTATTACCGAACATGGGAATTCAGGGTCTGAGTAAGGTTCCATGTGGGAGAATAGTTATCCGTACTCCGTACAACATAGATAGAGCTTCACGGTTCGCCGACGAGCTAGTTTCAGGTGCAAATCCCACATACTTCCATTTATAATACATGACTCCATTATACTCCATTATGCTCCATCATGCTCCATTATAATCTGTTATTTGAGGGCAGTCCCATTGTGTAGTACATGCCGAGAAACAATTTAGTTATTTTTATATATACGGAGGTAGCCGTCCACAGGTATGGATACCAAACCCATGGGTGTTGTTGTCCGCCGATAGGGTCGATAAAGAACACGCTAGTCGAGCTTGGCAAGACACTAGTGGTATTTAATACGGTCTTGGCTGAGTGTAAACACGAACAACACGATGCAACGTCGAAATTCTTTTTTTGATACGTTTTTTTCAATTCATTTCCTACCTGTAAGCTTTTAAAAACGGGATGGTATCTGTATTTTTGAATTGCAAAATTTGCGGTAATTTTACCAGCCCATTTAACCGGAAATTCAGCATGGACCCTTGAACGCCCGTATCCATGGATATTTTTACTCGGTAAGCTCGGGCAGGGTTGCTCACCACAAATTTGAGAGAAGCTGAAGGCACAGCCTAATAATTCCAATTTCACCTTTAAAGGGGCCACTATGGAGTATATTCAGTACTCGATATATTATTCTGTCTCAAAATGAACTCGAAAATGGTCTGCGAGCACACCGTTTGGTGTCTCAACAAATGACCCACCCAGACAGACCAATTTCAGAATTGAGACATGTAGGATTGGGGCCTCGGACTACACGCTAAATAAACCATAAGTGGGAGCACTGGAGGCGATAAAATGAGTGTCTCACCCAAAACCTACGGGCGCATTATTATCACATTACCCGACAAAGTGGTGCCATTTTTCACACACATTATTATTTGAATAGCGGTCAATTCCGGAGTAGTTCGATCCGAATCAGTACTTTTGATTTTTTCCCCCACGAATCCTGATGGTTTAGTGAATACGAGACCGAAGTTACAACGCATAGGGGTTATCCAAATATTATTGTACATAATTTTCACACCGGAGAGCCCGGAGAGCCCGGAGAGCCCGCAGTGCCCGTAGGGCCCCGGGGATGTGCCTTGCGCCCAACCACAAGACTAGTTCTCGTAGATATTGACATCACTGGGTAGCACAACATGATTAGTCATCAACAACCAAGGAAGTACCCGGGCAAAGGGAGGATGGGAATGGATTCATACAAGTCTCTCTTGATATTATCCCGGTCCACTGCAGCCGAATCAACCCATACACTAGCACTCATCCCCTGAACACCGAAATTTCCATAGCCATTCTTGTTGATAATGACAGGTTTCATGTTGGGATGTAATACATCGGTCCATTGCTCATATGCATGCTGTTGACCAACATACATGCGCTGCGCGCCCGAACCGGCGTTGCTGATAACACACGCAAGTCCGGATGGGTGACGGGCGTTTCCGTAGCGGACGAATCCTGTATCGCGGTTAGATCTGGCCAGGTGGATTGCTGGCACCCGTAATGGGGCTCAGCATCTAGTGGAGCAAGGGTTAAGCGAACCTATGCAGTTGGGTTGATTGAAGTAGTCTTGCTGTTCGCCGTAGGCGTAGAGTTTGCGGGCTTGGGTTAGTACGGGTATGAGGCCGTTACAGCTTGGTGTCATTGGTTTATCCACATTTGCTCGTATACCGTACAGGTCACCATAGAATACGCATGGCTGGCCGTCTTTGCGGAGGAGGACCAGGGCGTATGCTAGTAATTTGAAGGATGGTGATACCGGGGTCTGGGCGTTCGTTAGTTATGGTTCAGCGGTCCGCATAAATGGAGAATAGTTGCCTTACCTCAAGCATTTGTCCTGGTTGCTGCGAAGAGTTAGGTAAAAGAGGTAAATTATGCCAAGATTCAGCCATAGTCGGGACTTACCGTATCATGGTTCGCGACAAGGGTCTTGAGAGAAGTTAGCTGAGTATCCCTGGTTGGGCATCGGGTATTAAGAAACTTACCACAGCGAGGTCCGGCCGACACTGTACCAATGTATCCTTGAAAATCCCCCGAAGGTCTGGTGCCTGTGCATGGGACAACTTGGAGAACCGCTCCAGAAGAGGCACATCATATGCAAGGAGATCATATTCCACTTTCTTGAGGTAATCCAAAAGGGACGGTAAATGGCCAGTCCAGTACTCTCCTATCGCGAAGAAGTCCGGGTTGGCGGTTTTCCGAACATATTGCACGAATGCGCGTTGGAACTCGGTTGAGAAATGCTTAGCGGCATCAAGTCGCATTCCATTGAGGCTCAGGGATTTGGTGATCCAAGTTCCCCATTGCAGGAGGTCTGCGCGGACTTCGGGGTGTGCAAGGTCCAAATCGGAGAACATCAGGTAATCGTAGTTTCCATACTCGGGAGACACATCTTGTGCCCAGTCCTTGTTGGATTCGACGATCTTGTAGATTGCGCTTTGCTTGCTCTTGTCGTCCCAGTCGACGCCGCTGAAATGTTGCCAGTGATACTTCATTGAGCTGTACATATCATTGCGACCGGCGAAATCAAAGCCTGTCCAGCCGCTGACTTCTGTCGGCTTGGATATATCCAAGTCTCTCCCTGTTCTATCGGTTAGTAAATGACCGAAAATTCACGATGAGTCGAATGTCAACAAAAGTAAGGCTTATATATATCTTACGTTTAGGATCTACCTTGACAGCCTGGAAGGGCTCTGGATAGTCTGCGCCAGCTTTATGATTAAGCACCGCATCCCAGATGACACCAATGCCCAAGTTTTGCGCTTGGCACATCAGGTCTTCAAGTTCGCGTTTGGTACCCCATTTCGTAGGAACAGCGCCCTTCTGATCGAACTCCCCCAAATCGTACAGGTCGTAGATGTCATAGCCATTGCCATTGGCATCCATTCCCTTGCATCCAGGAGGAACCCAGATCTGATCAACGCCAATGGCCTTGTACTCTGGTAAGCGATTCTGCAGACGGCGCCAATGCTGCCGGTCGGCGGGAACATGCCATTCAAAGGTTTGCAGTATGAGCGAGTTATCTGGAGCATTCCATGATGGCAGCTGTTCTAGATTCGCAGCTGCTTCTGTTCCATGTATTCTGATTAGGGGGTTGAAACCGTTTTCCAGTGGGGGGAGACCAACCTTCAATCTGTTTCCATTTCTGGCCTTTCTCTCGAGATCCACACCAGAGGAACGGCATCGCGGAATTGTTGTAAATGACAAGGCAAGCTATGTCAAGCTACAACATATGTTGTATGATACAAAACTATGTTGTACCTAGGATGTGCACATCCTGGGGGGCCAAGGCTAGGCTATGTGGGGGCGACTAAGACTAATTTTACTGATTTTGCTATTTTTACCCGGCCGTTGTAAGGTACAAGTTTCCAAGGTGGAGTATCAAATTTGATTAGTCGGGAATTATCCAAAATGTCTTGGGACGAAATTTTCATCCGAACACTTGAACTTTTCTAGAAACTAGAAACTCCACCCATCTCTCGGCTTCAGCCACCATAATGCATGACATGTGAATGTTTATGAAATAAGGGAAAGCCCATATATGTGATACAAAGGCCAACGTATCAATAGGATAAAAAAAAAGGGCACGAATGTCGCCAAAATAAAACTAGAGAACAAAAAATATCGCACATAAAAGGATATCTCCGCGAACCAAGTCGAGCCATCCGACTCACCGCAATGGGAAAAAAGGGCAGAAAAAAATGGGAAAAAAAAAGACCGGAAGAAGAGAGGGATGACCGGGACATTTCTTTCAAAGGAACGTCACGAATATGCTGCTCACCACTGCTAGCAGAATGGTAGCTAGACCAGCATGACTGGTAGTTTTGATTCCACCCGAGTATGACGTGGTATCACTGTTTGTCTTCAACATCGCGAGGGAAACGTTGGACTCAGGGTAGCCACAAAGACCAATACCGTCCATGAGTTTCGCAGGGTAGAAAACACGGGGCTCTCCCTTGTCCATATCGACATGCAGCATGCCCTGGTTGTCAACAGTATAGTTCTTACAGCTCAGAACATTAGTCACCATCGTACCGGCATTATAGCTGACTGGCATGTCGATTTGGTAGGCTCCACTAGTCGAAGGTTGAGTGGATAACACCATGACCACTTGTCGACCCTGCACACCTTTCGTGAAAGCAAGCTCACTGCCTCCCTGGAAGATTGTGTGAGTCGCGTCATCGAAGTAGTCTGTGCTCAAGAAGGCTGCGTGGTTCCGGACGCGATTCAGTTTTGCGATCAGTTGGTAGAGCTCCGCGTTGGTGTCGTATTTGGTGAGCCAGATGGCTTCTCGATTGACAGGCACACTGTTTCCCGACAGATGTTGCTCTTGACCTTGATATATCATCGGGATTCCGTCATACAGCATGGTAAATACCAGGATATTCTTGGCCATCTGAAAAGTATTATAATTAACAAAAGCGATCAGTCAACCCGAGAAGGGCACACATACCGCCATGTCCTTGGAAAAGCTACCAATTCGAGGCTTGTCGTGATTTTCAGAGAAAGAGGCCATAGCATTGACATCTGGCATCGAGATTCTCATGTCCTCCACTGCTTGCGCCAAGTCGGAAGTATTGCCTTGTGTAAAAGCAGCTAAAATTTGGAAATAGATCGGATAGTTTGGCAAACTGTCGATGTAATTGGTCTGGTAATCCTCCATGATGCTGACTGCACCTTCAAGAACTTCTCCTGTCATGAAAATGTCGACACCCGTGCGGAAGCTCTGCAGAAAGCCTGGGTTGACGTGCTTGGCGGCGTCGATCCGGAGCCCGTCAATGGAGTAGGTCTTGATGACTCTGTTTGCCCATTGTATCATGAGATTTTGCACTTCCTCGTGCTCTGTGTAAAGATCCGGCAGCGGCACGACCAAATCACCTGTCTGGCATAGCTGAGCATTGGTCATGTTATTCCAGTCTGAGATTTTGCAGTAGGGATGGAAATAGTCAGAGTTATTGAAGGGTGTGAAGACGGAGTAGTCGATGCTTGTGGCGGGATTGCTGCCATTGGTGATGTAGGCCATGTTGTTGATGACCGTATCCAGCATGAGGTACATGCCCCGGGAGTGGACAGCGGCACTGAGGTCGAGCAAGTCTTGATGGGTGCCAAAATGAGAGTTGATATTGTCGAAGTTCAAGGGCCAGTATCCGTGGTAGGCTTCGCCATAGGAGACTTGGCCATGAATATTCTCACTGATAGGGGAGATCATCACAGCATCGAATCCCATTCCTTGAATGTAGTCGAGATGGTCCATGGTTCCTCGCCATGTTCCTCCACAGTAGAAACCCGCGGTGGTGTTGCATGGTGCTGTTGTCGATCCGTCTGTGCGAGCGAACCGATCTGTCATGGTCTGGTATATCGATCTGGACTTCCAGGCGCCTACCCTTGCAGCGGAAGCCGATGAAATGAGGCTCGTGATCAAAAGCAGCCCTGCCAAATGGCGAATGGTCGATCGTGACATCATGGCAGCTCGTATTTGTCTGACGGGTCGATCAAAAGGGGAGAAAAAGAGAGTACTGGGGTTTCAAATAAAGAGTGACTTGGTTGACTCACAAATCCGCAAAGATGGCCGGAAAGAGGAGTAAATGAGTGACATTTGGACATAAGCCCATAAACAGAGAACGAAAGGAGGCAAAGAAAGCAGAAGTTGGACACCAGCACAGGAAAAGGTCGGGGAAATTTGCAAATTAGGCAAGGGCTAGTCAGGTGGCAAGCCTTCCAAGGTTCTGTCGTCGATCCATACATACATAGTGTTGGAACCCCCTCCCCACAACCACACGCTACTTAGTTATATTATTTCGGAGAGACATGTGTTTTATGTGCCTAGTGGAGCGTCTCCCTATGTACAAATGTGCCTGTGAAGAGAATTTTGCCTCGGGATAGCTGCACTAATGGACCTTGGCTTTTCGACTAACCTGGTTTATCCGCATATATCTACTGCTATTCCCCAGGATTTACAACGAAGGGAAGCTACGGTTATAGTGGCTTTCAAGCTTGAAAAACTACGCCAGTGGATTGATGTTCTATGTAGACCTCAAGCGGGGACTGCAGGAATCAAGTTTGGTTTGATTATGGTCTACCTATGAGGGGGGAAGAAGATAAGGAGGCTTGACACTAGTAACGACACTATTGGAACAAACTCCGTACAGAGTACAGGAGTCATTTTAGTGCTGTCAGGTACCAGGAACCGTGCCCTGGGCTTACTACTGGGCTGTACGGTTCATTGGTTGCACTCGCAGGTCGTCACGTGGAGACACTGCCCTAATCTCAGGAACAGCCTTGGAAGTCGCCGTCCTACCCATCACACCAGAAGTGACAAAATATTGATAGTCCAATCATCTGAGACAATGTGCCTTCAATCTAAGAGACTAGCGATGTTACTCTGCATCTCCACAAAACCGGGTCACAAAGCTATAGATAGTACTTTGCTCCGTACGCCGTACTGTATGCAGTACCGCGAATGATACACCAAACGCTTTGGCCCTGAAGCTGCCCAGGTATTGAATACGAGATGTGAGATAGTGAGACAAGCTGTGAGAAGTTTCAAGAACGGACTCTGTGGTATGGCACTGAGTTTAACTTGATTTGATCGTTTTTGGTACCAGATACGCAGGTACTGCAATGACAATGTACTACGGCGAACGCAAGAAACCCCCCCCCC